CGAAACAAGGTCAAACAACCTCTATACAACTAAAGGAGACTGCGACCATACAAAAGTCCAAACCATCTTGGTCTTCATACATTCTATTTAAATTTTTATTTAATATTATACAGATTTCAAAATAATTATTGTATACAGTAGAACTTTGAATAAAGGAGGCACGTAACAGTTTAAAATATATGATATTTTATATACACTAGTAATAAAAATAGAAAAACCCTTCCCTGACCTTATTACACGAATATCACAGTAAACTTATATTGACAACCTGTTGCATATCTGACTCATTTATAAAAAAATTAATCTTAATTCCAGTTCGGGTATTTGCTAATCCGCAAACGTATATAGCTCGATGGGGTGTCTTTTTTCCGCCTTTGCCCTATAAAAAAATGTAATTTGAGTACGAAAGAAGATACAACCTGTTTATAGAGAAAGGTAAGTTGGCTGTTAGAACGAATTTTAATAAATAGGATCTGTATTTCCATTAAGTATCTAGTGGTCTGCCAATTTTTAAAGTTGGATAGAACCTAATTTGTTCCTATATCATATGAAAAATACTAAGTGAATTATATGGATTGTACCTAAAATGGAGTTCCTTTAATGGCTAGTAATTATGATGCGATCACTCACACTATTATTGCCGAGTAAATGTTGTCGTTACAATGGGATATTACGTGTAGCCATAGTTTAAATGTATCCTTTGTTTTATCTATTCATAAAGATACTAATATCTAAACCAAATAGATCATTGTAATTTATGTCATTAGAGTTTGTTCAACTGCCACTCCGTCCTTTGGATTTTACCTAAATTATATTAATCGATTGTTAGGATGACTTTCATTTTGTATAAAAGTGCATGAAGAAGAAATTCGTTGGTTAATCTCACCAGATGAGGACGGATAAATCTCTTTATACTGCAGCTGTTTAGCTTTTATACGATATTCATGTTAACACGGTCCACAAGACTTCCTCCCTTGTTTCAGGTGAAAACGTGCTGACCTTTCGTCTATCATATGATGGACATCATCAGAGCTGGGCGTCATTTTTGTAAAAGTATAACGTTAATATTAAAGCAAGAACACTATCCGACTCTATCTTACTTATTATATAAACTCACTTGAGCCTAATGAAAATGAAAAATTTAGATATATCGATATAGATTCGTTTGGTTAATTATCTTTCATACTGGTCCTTTTAATTTTGCTCGAGTTTACGGTCATTTGTATGTGTGTGTATTAGCGTCTAGATGCAATACGGTTCCTGAATCAGCGTTGTCAAAGGTTTAATCTCAGATTCTGATCTTCAAGGCATACTGACCCAAGACAAAGCCTTGATCGAAACTGCGTAACTATGGTTGAGATGAGATATGAGCTTGTAAGCATGTAAATCAAGATACACAACCACTTATCCTAACCTCTCAGTCTAGGATCATTAAAGTTTAACCCCCCAAGGAAAGGCATTACTAAGGATACGTAATTTGGCACGTCTGCTTTGGTTTATGAGCTTAATCTAACATATTGGACGAGTGTGAGTGAAGTTCGAACCATCATTGAGCAGACAAATTGAGTCGCCTTCTTTTTGACAACGGCTCAACACCGTTTCTCTCTTTCAATATATCAATTAAGCATAAGTAGTTCCTACTTAACTTTCTACCACCGTTCCTTGCATTTATCGAAACCCAGTTTCTCTTCGTATCTACATTAATGGAGCATAGGAAAATATTTGAGACCTAAGAAAAGCTAATTTTATTGTAAGGATAAAATTAGAATGTTTTATGAGTAGTTAGTAGAGCAAATGCTACATTTTTTACCGAAAAGAAGTGCAAATGATCTAAGCGTTTTGATGTTCTTTATTATAACAATTTTGCTTATTTTTCGCCTTGTTAATTAAAAATTTTTGAATTACTATAAAATTAGAATATATCATGCTAGGATTTGTGCTTGAAATAAATTTCGATGAAACTACCTGATACTTTTCCCCTATCTAAACTGAATTGGCTTACTAGGTTCATATAAATGAATGACTTTAATAATGTTTTTTATATTATTTGTAATTATTGTGGCAATTAAAGTGCACTTTCTTGGATAAAAGGCATTTACTACCTGTCCATTTTGTGCTTGTTCGGTTGCACTGGATACACCTGTCGAGTTCACTCGTCCACTAACCTTGCTTCTGCCCTCTACATTAATTGCGAGGCTCTCCCGTTCTGAAACCTCTTCTGCCATCTTCAACGAGCCACAACTGTGCATCATATGAGATGCATTCATATTAGTTCCAAATTCATTACCGGCCAAGCTATGTTGTCCTCTTTCACCACATTGTAGTTGACTTTTGCCAGCATTTGTCTTAAAATGAGATGAACCACTTAGCCGATCTGCAATTGGTATGTGCTTATGAGGTGATGTATTAGATGAAACCTGCGGTATTACTTGCTTGAGCCCGCATTTAATTGATCCTGATCCGTGATAGGACGAACAATAATCTAAACATAAGGATGGACCAATTGAGTGAGTAAAGCCAGGCAAAGGGCGTGATTTATCCTCTTTAACAAGACATGGCAATACGCGAGCAGGTGAAAGTGATAATGTTCGAGGTAAATCGTGCTTGGCGGACATGAAATGTGATGCTCTATTTCCTGAAACATCTTTAGTAGCTAGCCATTGAGTGCAATTCCGGTTAGTGTCAATGCATTCAGGCAAACATGAAAGAGCAGAGTGATTAGAAGAGGTGCAGGTTGAGAGGTTAGCAGCGATGAGGGAACTAGAGCAGAAGTGATGTTTTGATTGGGATAATGAATCTTTCAATTCCTTGTTTTCGCAAAATTCAGAAGCTCCGAAAATAGGTTCATAAG